ATCGAGCGATCGTGTGCCACACCTCTTGCTTGACCCTGCTTATAAGCCACCTGCCGAGTATGGGTGCTGTTCAGGCTATCCTTGTGAATAGCTTAGCATAGCAAATGTAGCACATTATCATGATAGTAATCGTAACTCAAACGACTGGTCTCAGCCTATGTCGCAGAATTAGCTTATTATAGCGCGCTGTATACGTTGTAATAAGGCACTAGAGCACTTCATTCTCATTGTCAGAGGCTCGAGCGATTTAATAGGGCGAGGGGGGAGGGAGAAATCAAGGACAACCTTGAAATAGATCTAACGGCTTAAGATTTGCTTTATTACATTTCTGAATCTTTGTGGTGCATTACCTTCGGATGTTGTAAAAACTTTGATTTTCTGCGTTTACTCTTTTCATTATCAGAAGCTTCCCTTCAAGACAAATCAAGCGCCCAATTCCAAAGTTAGTTATCAGGGCATCTATCAAAGCAAATAAGCCCGTTTTCACTGAAGCAATTCCCTAGATTAATGTGTCCGTTCCCGACGGGATATGTTCTGGGAAATATTCTACTCGAAAGGCTACCCATATCAGAATATAAATAGTATCATGTATCACTAGAAGACATCATTAAATCTAGGACGACAAAACGGCGGTTTTGTTTTTCCACCTCAACACATGTCCATTTAGAGAGCCTACTTTCGCACGGCACATGCAGATCTACTAACAGAACTAAATAAGAGGCCTCCTAATGCGCTTCCGACTAGGAAAGAACTTCTGGATAGTTTGAAGGTACTCCTCAAAAGAATTAGCCAAAGGTTTCACTCTATTTTACCTTTCAGAACGGCGAAGAATACGATGTTTTGGTCATAGGCGGTGGTGCCACTGGTGCTGGTGTGGCACTGGATGCTCAGACTAGAGGTATGGAGCTTTCACAACGATCACTGAATTTGGACTTCAATGTTTAGGGTTGAAGACAGCGCTGGTTGAGCTGGATGACTTTGCCTCTGGAACGTCTTCTCGAAGTACAAAACTCATCCATGGAGGTGTTAGGTACCTACAAGCAGCTATCATGAAAGCTGATCTTGAGCAATATCGAATGGTTAAGGTAAGGGTGGCCAAGGTGAAATAGAGCAAGTAATCATCAAGAAATCTATTTATCTATAGGAAGCTTTATTCGAACGAGCCAATCTTCTGGAAATTGCTCCTCATCTTAGCTCACCTCTACCTATTATGCTTCCAATTTATAAGTGGGTTTGCTTAAATACTTTTATCCATATAATTGTCTATAATTCTGACTCAGAATGGTGATCTTAATCTTCGAAGGAAGTTTTTATGGTACAAATAAATTCATCACTGCTTTTGTGGAAATATGCTCATTTTCCTACTCAGCTAATATCTTTTATTGAAGTTTTATCAACTTTTCAGTCTAATTAAAGACGATTTTTGCAAATTCTTTTTCAAGGAATCTTTTTAAAAACATATTAGGCTCTCTCTCCCCTTTTCAAAGAGTCCTAAAGAGGGCTCAGAACTTAAAAACGAGGATATTCAAAGCTTTGTTTTTTTCATTTGTTTTCTCTTCTATATGATTTTTTGTATCCCAACAAACTTCTTTTCAGACTTTGGCAAGTCCCTTACTACTGGGCCGGTATCAAAGCATATGACTTTGTCTCCGGCAAACGTGTACTTAAAAGTTCCTTCTTCATTAGCAAGAGCAATGCTATGGAACGGTAAGAGTGCAGCTAGTTCTTCGCTGCTCCCCAATGCTTCTAATGAGCATAGATTTCCCATGCTGAAGACTGACTCGCTCAAGGGTGCGCTCATCTACTACGACGGCACTCACAATGATGCCAGAATGAATTTGGCGATAGTGTTGTCAGCAATTAGGCATGGAGCTAAGGCAAGTTTAGTTCTATTTTTTAACATCTCAAAAAAACTGAACATCTATCTCAAAACTTCTTTTGTTCTGGTAGTACGAAAGGGAATAAGGAAAATTCATTTTTATAGGTACCTACTGAAAAATCATCGTTGAAATGTAGTATGCAAATATCGCTTGAATCGTGTTAGTACAATTTGCATGTTCTTCCATTGATGTGTTATGCTGAAATCTCCATATCTCAAAAGTGGATATTGCAAGATTTTTAGATGAAACTCCTATGCCTGATAAAGGCATCAGTGGGCTGAGAAATTTACGAAATCATTATCTGGAAGATTTACAAAAAAATCAGAGGAATAGAAAAAATGTGGGCTCGTTTTTATTTATAGAACGCAATAAGCGATTTTTCGCAATGTAATGGCTTCAATACCTATACAAGAAATGTAAGTAAGATCCTGATAAAATAAGAATTCACTCTGCAAAGCTCATGGTATTTATGGTTTTGAGTAGTACCTACCAGTGCCTGACTTTCTGATAGATAATGATTATTCTCACTTTTCATATATTAGGTTGGCGGATAATTTCTGTTACACTTT